AATGCCCCTTGTCCAGCCAGAAGTGTCACAGAGGCCATGCACAAAATGCTTGCTTGAGGCCTATCCCCTCTGATTTTGCAGGTGATGCTGACACAGTTGGCTATTTGCTCTCCAAGTATCTAGCAGAATCAAAGCACTGCAAAGAAAACAAGAGGAAGTGACCATCAACCGTCAAGGGGAGTTTTCAAAAACTGCCTCAAAGCTGTCCTAAAAACCCCGAAAACACCCATGGAGAGCCATTTAGTGAAGGGTTGAGGAGGCCTGTGATGCCGCTGGGTCACACCTTTATCATAATCATACTTTTGATGATGGCCCTGTTTAGAGAACTGTGAATGGCTTGCTGTATGAAAGCAGGGACATTTGTGTTACATTTTGATGAGTTCCATCCAGAATGGTTGAACTAGAGAAAACTGGTGCATTCATAAAATTTGGTAGATGGAAAATATTTCACTGTTTTAATTTTATTTTCTTTTTATTATTGAGATTAAGCATCTTTTCATTTCTTCTGTGAGTTGCCCATTTTTCTATAGGGTTGTTGTTTATTCTTATTGGTTTGTAAGAGCTCTTTACATATTGGGGATAATAGTCTTGTCTGTGATGTTTGTTATACACATCAACCCTTTGCCCCCATCAGGTTGGTTTCTGGTTTTATTTTTTTATTTTATTTTTATTTATTTATTTATTTTTTGTGTGTGTGAGGGAGATCAGCCCCGAGCTAACATCCGTGCTAATCCTCCTCTTTTTGCTGAGGAAGACTGGCTCTGAGCTAACATCTATTGCCAATCCTACTCCTTTTTTTCCTTCCCCAAAGCCCCAGTGGATAGTTGTATGTCATAGTTGCACATCCTTCTGGTTGCTGTATGTGGGACGCGGCCTCAGCATGGCCGGACAAGCGGTGTGTCGGTGCGCGCCCGGGATCCGAACCTGGGCCACCAGTAGCGGAGCGCGAGCACTTAACTGCTAAGCCACCGGGCCGGCCCCGTGTTGTTTGGTTTCGATTGGTGATGAAATTTCCCCTGCCCCATATAGAAGGTTTCTGGGTTGTGTAATCAGATTTGTCTTTTCCTTATGCCTTCTGGATTGAGTAACATACTTAGAAAAACCTACACTGCACAGAAAGGGCAATTTGCCACGTATTCCAAATAATTCCAAGGCTTGACGGTATGTAGAATCTGTGCCCATTAGAGCTGGTCCTGTTAAGTAAGGTGCTAGGATTGTATCTGATTTTTCTTTTGTTTTTTGGTTTTTTTGAGACCCCTTCCTTTCTCCCTGGGGGTAAGACAATGAACTAGAAAACCATCCAAGCTCCCTGCCTCCCCCCTGGCAGGTTCTGTGTGGCATTTTAAAGAGCCTGTTTGCTGACAACAATAAAAGAACAAGTTTGGGGTAACCACAAAACTGGTAAAACAGGAAAGGTAATTTTGGGGCAGTGCTGCATTCTGTAGGATAAATGAGGCTGGATAACCTGCTAGAAACGCGTCACGCTCCTTCCAGAGCAAGGGCCAGCTTGAGTTTAAATTATTAGAAAGGCCACCACGTGTTGGAAGTTAAAATCATCTTCTGGTTTTCCTGCAAGAGTCCTCTTTTTTTTTTTTTTTAATTTTTTGTTTATTGCAGTAACATTGGTTTATAACATTGTAAAAATTTCAGGTGTACATCACTGTACTTCTGCATAGATTACATCATGTTCACCACCAAAATACTAATTACAACCCATCACCACACACATGTACCGAATTATCCCTTTCACCCTCCTCCCTCCCCCCTTCCCCTCTGGTAACCACCAATCCAATCTCTGTCCCTATGTGTTTGTTTATTGTTGTTATTATCTACTACTTAATGAAGGAAATCATGCGGTATTTGACCTTCTCCCTCTGACTTATTTCACGTTGCATTATACCCTCAATGTCCATCCATGTTGTCACAAATGGCTGGATTTCATCGTTTCTTATGGCTGAGTAGTATTCCATTGTGTATATATACCACAGCTTCTTTATCCATTCGTCCCTTGATGGGCACTTAGGTTGCTTCCAAGTCTTGGCTATTGTGAATAACGCTGCAATGAACACATGGGTGCATGTACCTGTACAAATTGGTGTTTTCAAGTTCTTTGGATAAATACCCAGCAGTGGGATGGCTGGATCATATGGTAGTTCTATCCTTGATTTTTTGAGGAATCTCCATACTGTTTTCCATAGTGGCTGCACCAGTTTGCACTCCCACCAGCAGTGTATGAGAGTTCCCTTCTCTCCACATCCTCTCCAACACATGTTGTTTCCTGTCTTGTTAATTATAGCCATTCTGACGGGCGTCAGGTGATATCTCATTGTAGTTTTGATTTGCATTTCCCTGATAGTTAATGATTTTGAACATCTTTTCATGTGTCTGTTGGCCATCTGTATATCTTCTTTGGAGAAATGTCTGTTCAGGTCCTTTGCCCATTTTTTAATTGGGTTGGTAGTTTTTTTGTTGGTAAGATGCATGAGTTCTTTATATATTTTGGAGATTAAGCCCTTATCAGAAGTATGCTTTGCAAATATCTTCTCCCAATTGTTAGGTTGTCTTTTCGTTTTGTTGATGGTTTCCTTTGCTGTGCAGAAGCTTTTTAGTTTGATGTAGTCCCATTTGTTTATTTTTTCTATTGTTTCTCTTGCCCGGTCAGACGTGATGTTTGAGAAGATGTTGCTAAGACTGATGTCGAAGAGCGTACTGCCTATGTTTTCTTCTAGAAGTTTCACAGTTTCAGGTCTTACATTCAAGTCTTTAATCCATTTGGAGTTAATTTTTGTGTATGGTGTAAGGTAAGGGTCTACTTTCATTTTTTTGCATATGGCTATCCAGTTTTCCCAACACCATTTGTTGAAGAGACTTTCTTTTCCCCATTGTATGTTCTTGGCTCCTTTGTCAAAGATTAGCTGTCCATAGATATGTGGTGCAAGAGTCCTCTTGCTTTGGTTGAGTTCACACCAATGGAAACGTTGTAGAAAGGAAGGGAGGGAGGAGTGGAACCAGCCTTGCCTCTGCAGTTGTGTCTGAGTGCCTGGCTTTTGCTGTGTGACCCTGGGCAAGTCACTTGGCTTTTCTGGGCCTGGTGGCCCTTGAACTGCACCAAAGACAAACAGAAGTCCAGAGCCTTCACTGGGTTGTGTGGGAGCAGGCTTCAGCTGTGGAAAGTGAGGGGCCTGAACCCAGAGCGGTTAATCCCTTGTCCAAAGTCAGGCCGGAGCCGAGATTTGAACCCAGAGCGCTACAGTATTTCTCCCTCCTCACAAGAGGCCCCGCTCACAGGTGCTCCCAAACGGACTATGCTGCGCATTTTATGAGCACACAGAGATGCCTTTCCTGCTGGTGACTCCTCTGGCTACAGCATGGAAGTGGGTTCTGGACTCCATCTCCCCGCCACGCCGCCCCTCTTTTCTGGGGTCCGTCTCCCCGCCTCGCTGCCCCTCCCTGCTCCTGCTCTGCTCCCAGCTCTGGAAGTGCCCTTCAGGCCCCACATACCCCCTCCACAGTTGAGCAGAAGCTGTGTCCCTGTGTGGTGGCCACGACACGCAGTAACAGCTGCTGACCTGCTGACTACGGCGGCCTCGTGACCCGCCCAGCACACTGTCAGGAGAACAGAGAAAACAACAAGCCTTTCTCCCTGTCCACAGGGGGGCGGTCAGAGCCGCACAAGAGCTGTTTTCAGAGCCCAGGAAGCCGAATAATGTTTTTTCGCATCTCTAAAATGCAGGTTGAATGGCCTGCATCGTTGGGAAAAGCTAATAAACCACTGTGCATGGTTGATGGCGATCTGCTACCAAGCCCTGCTTTCACATGTTCTCCATCGAAGGCTTTCCTGGAAAATCAACCTGTAGCAGTCAGAACAGCCACAGTCAGTGTGCTGGACACTCGCTCTGTTCCTCACAGCAGCCCTCCGGGGAGATCCGAGTGTTCTCATTTTACAGTCAGGGAAACTGAGGCCCAAGCCCCTTCCCGTGTTCTCTGCCATCTTGGTTGTAGGGGACTTAGCACCAGGGCTTTGGGTCAACCTGAACTATGACCAGGTGGATAGAAAAAGTGCCTGGCAGGAAATATGCCTCAAGAGTTATGTTTCCCACAGTCCGTTCACTCATCACACCACTGAAGTCATCTGAGCACCCAGTGGAGCCCAGCTGCATGCCAGGGACCAGGGCCACAGCGGGCCCCGAGGCGACCTGGTCCCTGCCCTCAGAGCTCGCGTGTGTGGCGAGACAGGCGGAGAACAAATGGTTACACGGGTAACTACAATCACTGTGACTGTGAAACGGAGAAAAAGGAGAAGGAAGAAATATGATTTTATGAGCAGGAAAAAAACTGATATTTTTTTCCGACATTTTCTATGAAAATTTTCAAACATGAGCAAAGCTGAAAGAATTTTACAGTGAATATTCATACACCTGCCTCCTGGATTCTACCGTTAATATCTCACTGTACCTAGCCATCCCTCTCGCCGTCCATCAGTCCACCTTATTCTATCTAAGGACATCATACATTTTGAAAGATAAGGATGTAAAGCCATCGGCTGGAGCTGAGGAGCGGCCACCCCTTTGGAGGGTTTTGACAGTCCCCGCGCAGCCCATCCATGGCACCTGGCGGGGCCCTGGGAGGGTCGGAATTGGTGACCCCGGGCTGCACTGTCAGGGGGGAGTAGTCACTAGTGGAGGAAAACCGTGGCTCTCTGGTGTTATCATTTAAGTCTAGAATGTGTTGTCCTTTGGGGGAGCCAGAGATGAATGTCCCGAGAGAGGACACATTCCAGGACTGGCAGATGGCACGACCTCCCCACGTCTGCTTCTGCAGGATGAGGTCAGTGATATGTCAGGCAAGATTGCAGGGGGGGCTGGAGTAGTTCCTCATTAATGCCCTTGGCAGTCCTGTCTGGGAGGCCAGAGCGCCCAGGAGTGGGTGGGACAAGCCGCCTCACCCGCAGCCCAGCACCTCTGAGCAGCTTGTCGTGGCTGCCTTAGGGAGGCTCCATCATGGCCCCTGGAGGCGGATTTGCCCCCACACGCTTGGGAGAGGCCCAGGGGCTGAGAGGGGAGGGCTCGCTGCTCAGCCTGAGGGTTCCGTACGGGGAGCCTGCAGCAGGGCAAGACGGCTGCCCTGGGCCCGCCGAGGAGCCTCACTGGGAAGGAGCAGAGTGGAGGGGGTAGGGGGCACAGGCCGAGTGTGTTCCCACTCCGCAGAGGCTCCAGGGGACCTGGGCTTCCCAGACTGCCTGCTAACACCTGGATGACCATTGCTGGACCATGGAGCTTGACCCTGGTAATAATACAAAGTCATGAAAATGATCAAAGTCCATTTATTGAGTGTTTGTGCACTGGGCCCTCTGCTGAGTGTGTTGAATGCATGATTTCTAATTCCTGCGACAACTCTATGAAATAAGTACTATTACTGCCCCATTTACATGTGAGGAAACTGAGGCACACGGAGGTGAGGAGACTTGCTCAACTGGGGAGTGGTTGGGCCAGGATTGAAACCCAGTCAGTCTGGATCCCTAACCCGGCTTCTTTCCATTGGGTTACAAGGTATTTCATTTGTAGGGTCTAATGCTGTTTCCCCCGTGCACATCTTTTAACAGCTGCGATTAGGATGGTCCAGATGGCTGGCCAGGTGTGCTGGGTCACCTTGAGTGGAATTAAGCCCACACCTGTCCCTCCCCCAGTCCCCCCTCCTGTGCGGGCAGTTGCACACTGACGCCCCTGCTGGGCAGGGGGAAGCTGGCGCTGGGTTTCCCTGCTGTGGGCTTGGTACCTGCCTGTGGCCTGCTCAGTTGTCTTCGTCCCCTGTCTCTGTACCAGGCCTGGTGGGTCTCTGGACCCAGCAGTGCAGACAGCAAGAAGGTGCTGCAGAAGCACAGTTGTCTGTCCTCAGGCTCGGGGGGCGAAGTCCATGCTGAGCCTGCTCGGGAGACAGCAGCCATTCCCTGCGTGTCTCCTCCAGGCCGAGCCGTCAGCAAGGAGCTCCGACCCGTGGGATGTGTCTGGTCCTCGTGACAGCCCGCCAAGGGGGTCACAAAGGAGGGAGAGGAGGAGAGGCAGGCCGCAGGCTGCTCACATTTCACTGGAGCCCCAGAGTTCCAGGCACTGCCGGTGTCTAGGTCTACATTTCATCAACTTGAGGTTGTCACCCATTGTAAGATGCACCGTTGTTTCATGAACTGCTGAGAAAGGGGACACAATTAAGAGCATTCCGATTCCAGAGATGAACAGAATGTGTGTCTTGGGAGTGGACTGTTTCAAGTCATCCTTGAAGCACCTCCGTGATTGGCTCTGTTCGTCATTTGCTAGATGGGAAACCTAAGGCTCAGAGAGCGGGGGGGATTGTGCCTAAGCCCCCACTGCCAGTGCGTGCAGAGGGGGCGTCTGACCCAAGGTCATCGTGCTCTGACCCCTGGCTGTCCCGGGGCTGACTTTCAGTCCCCCGTTCAGTGACAGGGATCACATTGCTGGGGTGTTCTCCCGGGCTCTTATGCAGAGTCTCAGACCCATGGGGCCTCTTTCTTCCTCATAAGCTGGTGAATGAGAAGGTCGTCTTGAGTAAATCAGGCCCCACTTCTACCTCATAGGTTTCCTCAACCTGCCGCCTGCCCAGCTGGTTAGTTAGCAGTGATCTGCCTTGTGGGCCAGGATGGGCTTCTCAGAGCCTTAGTTCTGTGAGATGCTGCTGTACAGCTGTGCTGTCCAGTACAGTAGCCAGCGGTAGCCTTTCAAGTGAATGGAAATTAAATAAAATTACAGATTCATTTCCTCAGTCACACTCGCCACATTTCAAGTGCTCCATAGCCATGTGGCACATATGGGACATACAGATATAGAACATTTCCATCATTGCAGAATGTTCTACTGGACAGCGCTGTCCTAGGGAGAAAGGATGCTGTGGACAAAAGAGCTTGCCCCCTAGATATTCCAGTTGCATTTTAAAGGCTCTGACAAGTCCTGCAGTAAGAAACTGGTCTCATCTGGAGCCAGCACTTCAAATTTACTTGCCCATGAACCTTTTTAACACCTGTAAACAACTCTCCTTTTCCCTCAACACACCAAGTGACCCCCCCCATCCCTAGGCCTCCGTGGCCCGTGGAGGTCCTGAGTATCACCCTTGTTGGGAATCTAAATCCCTCTTCTCATCTTGTCCCCAGACTGCCTCGGCTCCCCGGTGTTTACTCCCATCAAGGCAGACATAAGTGGCAACATCACGGTACGTACTTGGCCCGGCAGCCGCAGCCCCGGTACCCGCGTCAGGAATCTACACCTGCCCCGGTCACGGTGCCCTGCCACCCACTGCAAGCTCACCAGGCTGAGGAGTAGGAAGGAGAGGTGGGAAACGGGCTTGACCCCTGGCTTGCCTGACTCAGGGCTTGAGCTTCTCGTCCTCCTTTGCAGTCACAGCCTGCCTGGGATACAGTCTGAAGGGTCGACCTGAGAAAGAGCCTGCTGCTTCTTGTATGCACCCCACCAAAGCAGTAACCTCCACAGTCTATGAGTGCATTGGCCCAGCCCTTCCCTTCTTCCCCGAGCCCCATCAGTTCCCGATGCTGCCCCCCAGCCACTGCCCCTCTCCCCATGAGGATCTACTTAGGGCCTGGCCTGGGCTTGGGCGCCCTGCATTATCTCATTGCTTCACCCCAGCAGCCCTTGGAGGCTGGTTCTGTCATTATCCCCATTTTACAGACGAGGAAGCTGAGGCCCAGAGGGGTTGAAGGACTCACCTAAGGTCACACAGCAGGGAAATGGCAGAGGTGGGATTCAGACTCCAAGTGCCTGGCCCCAACTCAGGAGCCTGGTCCCTGGACATCTTTGAATCCTCAAAGCCTATTTCTACCTGTCCACTTCAGAAAGCGAAACTTCAGATCCTTGGTGTCCGAGGCGCTATCAGTAGTGGTTGGAGAACATGGACTCTGGAGCCGGCCTGTGCTGGAACCTGCTCCCTCCGAGACTAGCTGTGTGACTTTGAGCACGTCCCTTCCCCCCTCTGAGCCTCAGTTTCCTCATCTGTGAATTGGGATAATCACAGAGCAACATGAAGGTTGCCGTGAGCATCAAATACAGCAGTGCCCGCGGAGCAGTTTGCACGTCCCCACATAAATAAAAGTCATGGAGGGCACGGTTCCTACCTGCCCCACTGCCGTGCCTGGTGCTGGGGGCGGAGAGGGAGGCCCCGGTGGGGCGCTCCTCTGCCGTGCGCGGGCCGGACGGCTGTGGGGACAGCCTTTCCAGGGGAACCCCGTGTGCTCCATTTCAGAAAATCAAAGCCGTTTATGACACCAACCCGGCGAAGTTCCGGACGCTGCAGAACATCCTGGAGGTGGAGAAGGAGATGTACGGAGCACAGTGGCCCAAAGTGGGGGCCACGCTGGCGCTGATGTGGCTGAAAAGGTGATGGGCTCGGGTGGCAGGGTGCATGCGGCTGTTGGGCCTGCGGGGACATCAACCCTGTCACGGCCCCACGGTGACAGGGAAGGAAGGTCGCTTCCGTTTCTTGCACACAGGCTGTCTTCTTGTGTAAGGCTAAGTTAGTGGCTCCCTGTGGCCAAGGCCTGCCTGATGGAGACGCGCCCTTGTTCAGTCCCATCAGAGGCAGAGCAAGTGAGCGCATACTCTGGGTGCTGTGCTAGGCTCTTTATATGCCTGATCGCGTTTCATACGCTGCGAGTTAGGGGTGGTGATTATCCCCGTCTCACAGAGGAGGCCATTGGGGCTTCTAGAGGCCAAATCATGTGCCCAGGTCACAGGGGCAGAGCTGGTACTGAGTGGCCCAGCACAGTTGTTCAGGTTCTGCACTGCACAGAGATGTCCTATCTAGGGCTGGTCACATCATGCACATGGTAGATTTGTATACCATGACAGCTTTTTTACAGAAATACAGCATCTTGAGAAGGAGCTCTGTCTAATTTGCACAGAGTCCTGTGGGCTGGGGGCAGGGTACCCTGATAAAAGATCTGAACCCAGACGGTCTTAACCCAGAGTTGACACCCTGTAACCACTATACGTACTGTCCTCATAACAAACTTGGGAAGCGACATACGGTTGTTCCTTCTGACAGATGGGGCCACTGAGGCTCCGAGAGGCCAGGCAGCTTGTTTGCTGAGCTCATGCTGCTCCACCAGCTACAGAATTCTCCTGTAGCCATGCGGACACCATATCCCCCAGCAGCCGTGATGAAGCCGGGGACCCCTTCTCTGCCCCATGGATGTTCCCAGTGTGGCCCTCTGGGGCTTGGAGCCAGGAGGGGTGCTCCCCCCTGACTCTCTCCCCATCCCCTGAAGCGAGCCCCCGACCCCTGCCACACGCCACTTTGGTGAAATGGAACAGGGAGAGTCTGCTCCCTGGAGAGTGCAGCCGAGTGGGCCTTAGGCGGCAGGTAGGCTGTAATTAACACCCTTACAGCGTGTTTTAGGAATCACCCCCACCGAGCTGCCCATCTTTGTCTGTCAGCACGACACTCACAGGCCCAGAATGAGGACTGCCCCTGGGTCCATCCATTGGCAGGTTCTGGGGGTTTCTCAGGAGGAGCAAGGCAGACGGTGACGTTCAGATCAGTTAGATTGTTGGAGTCCAGATCGGACGTGGGCAGAGCCGGGTGACTGGGACCACGTGACAAGCACCTGCTGTGTGCTGTGTGTGGTGCTGGGCGTGTGGGAGGCCGTACTGAACAAGGCATGGCCCCTCTTAGGGCATCACAATCTGGGCAGGGTGTTGGGCGGGTGGGCAGATCCTGACAGCAGGCTGTCAGAGCCTGGAGCCCAGAGAGGTCAGGGAGGGCTTCCTGGAGGAGGGACGCCAAGCAGAGTCTCCAAGACTGAGCAGGAGGGTCCTGGGAGGACAAGGCCTGGCAGAAGTGGGAGGGCAGGAGGGCCGTGGTGTGTCTGCAGCTCCAAGAGGGTCTGGTCCAGCCAGGGATCTGGATGTGAGGCGGGAGCAGGGGGAGACGAGGCAGGACTGGACAGGGGTGAGCTCCAGCCTGATCAGGGCTCCTGGGAGCCATTGAGGAGCGCGAAGCTGGGCAGCAGCAGGGTCAGTGGGGTTCGAGGAGGAATCACCCTGGCTGCTGGGTAGAGGAGGGGCCCTTGGGGCTGGGGAGAGGCAGGGCCTGGGGGGTGGCTGGCCAGGGCAGGGCTGGGACTGTACCCTGTGCTCGGTTCCACACTCCAGGCTGCTCCCTGATGGTTGAGGGTTCTGATCCAAGTGTGGAGGAATTCCCCTCACCTCGTAGGTGATCAAGTTAAGAGACCCTTCAATCTTTGGGCCCCGTGCTCTTGCCCCTAAGAGCCCCCAACCTGATCCCCACCCCCTGCAGGGAGGGAGCAGAGCCTCTCCTCCGGGGACCTCGAGGGGACAGTGAAGGAAGGAGCCCAGCCACGGGGTGGGGCAGGCTGGGGTCACATCCTGGCCTTTGAGACTTTCGGGGGTGCCTCAGGGTTCTTCTCTGTGAAATGGGCGATGGTGCTGAGCTGAGCCTCACGGGCTGTGGGGGGCAGGAGATAGACGATGTGGATAAAGGGCTGGCACTGATCTGATTTTCGATTTGGTGGCCCCGCCATACCCCACACCCTCCTCCTGGCGCTTGAATCATCGTCCCACCCCTGGAGGAAGGGCTCAGGTGGCCACTGGAGGATCCAGACCGTGGCTCGGGGCAGTGGTAAAGGCGGGGAGCCTGGGCACGGGGCCCGGCTCGTCAGTGTGTCCATGTCTGTGGCCTGTGAGCCCTCTGAGGGCCAGCGCTATGGCTTCAGTCCTCAAGCAGTGATGGCCGCCGCCACGTGCTGGCCCATGGAGGCCACGTGGCTACGGTTGTGGGCAAGGCCCTTGTAGACCTTACAGCCCAGCAGGGACCATGATCAGGGGCTGGCCCCAGGCCTAGTGTAGACGAGGGGCTTGGGAGAGGCTGCATTGAGCCGGGCGGTCACACTACACGGAAGCGAGTGTAGAGATAACAGCTGAGGAATGACCACCACCTTCCGTGTGTACACACCCCTGGCTCACGCTGGGCGCTTAGTTCAGAGTGCATCAGGGTCCCCCACCTGCAGGACCCTGTGGCGTCCTAAAGAGCCGTCTCCTTTCTGGGCCGCAGGGGCCTCCGCTTCATCCAGGTCTTCCTCCAGAGCATCTGTGACGGGGAGCGTGACGAGAACCACCCCAACCACATCCGCGTCAATGCCACCAAGGCCTACGAGATGGCCCTCAAGAAGTACCACGGCTGGGTCGTGCAGAAGATCTTCCAGGTGAGCCGCCCCCAGGCCCAGGAGGACCACCGGCTTGAGGGGGTCCCTCCCTGCTCCCCCTCCTTAGCCGTGGCCCCTCGGAGCCTGTGTCTGCCCAGCTGGGCTCAGGGAGGGCTCCCCTGTCTATTTGAGGTGAGGCTGGTGCCCTGAGGGCCCCTCTCTCACGTGCCAGCGCCATTTGTGGCCGTGGCGGGAGATCTTGTGGGTGTTCCATGCTTTCTGTTGAGGTGCCTCGTCCTCAGGCCCAATTAGAAGGCATGGGAGAAACCACGGCAGAGACTCTGAGGACCACGGGTGGATGGTGGGCTGGCCTAACTGGCCCCTGGGATTTGATCCTCACCCTGCACAGGGAGGGGAAGAAGGGACACTGGCCCGCGGGGCTCTTGGTGGCTTCTGTTGGGGTGACGATGGCCGGGGCTCCTGGAAACGGGAGCTTCAGCACCAGCCTTCTTACCTGAGAGGCCCCCAGGGTCGCCAGGCTGAAGGCTCACTTGGGAGATGTCGAGAGGCCCCCGGGTGCCCTACACACTGTCGTTGGCCACCCTGCCTCCCGCTGCCCCCTCATCTCACCCAGCCAGTTGTGGCCACCCTTTCTCGCACTGCCTGCCCATCCTCACTCCCACGAGAACCAGGGTCCGATGCGCCAGTCTCTTTCCCACGCGGCACAGGTCGTGGGCAGGCTGGGGTGGGAGCCAGTCTGGGTCCAGACGGGTCCGCCAGTCACCAGGTGGGAAACAGGGCGACCCCTGGGCCATCTGCCCTGGCAGGGCTGGGGACAGGCCCATCCTGGTGGGCCTTGAAAGCACCCCCGTCCCCCCGCAGAGCATTGCTCCCTCCAAAGGCCTCACGACCACCACCTCAGTAATAACAGCGTGTCCTGTGTGCCCGGCCCAGGGCTGGCTGCCCGTGGGTTGTAATCTTCACAAATGTACCAGGAGGTGGGTACTGTCCTTACCCCATTTCACAGATGGGGAAACTGATCCAGATGCTAAGTATCTTGCTCAAGGTCACACAGTAAGAAAACTAGGGGCTAGGATTCTACCTCCCTGAGCTCAGAATCCTCATCTTTCAAATGGGCATGAAATAGGCCCTACCTCACAGCATCGTGGTGCAGACTGAGTGAGTTAATCTGTATAAAGTGCTTGGCGCACGGTTTACACTCAGTAAATCAAAGCCTTACTATTTTTATTAGTGATATTATTATTTGTAATTTCCTCACCCTATCCAACTCGTAGCCTAAGCCGTTTATCTGATTGTATCCTTTCCCTTCTGGCTCTGAAATTCTGTGAATTTCTGATTCTCTGGACTTTTCAAGTGTCGGGAAGCCCTGAAGTTTGGGGAAGTGTTGCCCCCTGAAGGACAAAGGAGGCACAGCACAGATTAGTGCTCCCAGCGTCATCTCCCCTGCTCAGAACGTGGGTTTTCTGAAGCAGCAGTTCATCTTCTCCAGAGCAGGGACCCCAGAGGGAAGAGGCTCATCCATAGTGAGCACCTACTGTGTGCCCGGTTCTGTGCTGAGCACGTACTGTGTGCCTGCTACCATGCTGAGCACCTACTGTGTGCCCAGTTCTGTGCTGAGCACCTACTGTGTGTCCGGTTCTGTGCTGAGCACTTTGCACAACCTCCTTAATCCTTACAAAAGCAACCCAATTAGATGGGTGCCATTATCACCCCCTTTTACAGATGAGGAAACTGAGGCTCAGAGAGGCTAAGTAACTTGCTCAAGGCTCCCAGCTAGTCAGCGGCAAAGCTGGAATTGGAACCCAGGTCTGTCTGTCCCCAAAGCTGGTGTCCTGTCTGCCATCCCTCAGGGGGTAGGGAACACACATTGCCCTTTGCCTTCTCCTTTCCCTTCCAACGCCATGAACAGCACGACCCCTGCCCAGCACAGACCTCGGGGGAGTCCCCTCCCTGAACCCCATGGTGCCCACTCCACTGACACTGCCGCCTCCTCTCTGCCCGCCCCAAGGCAGCGCTGTACGCGGCCCCCTACAAGTCTGACTTCCTGAAGGCACTCTCCAAGGGGCAGCCCGTGACGGAGGAGGAGTGCCTGGAGAAGACCCGCCTCTTCCTGGTCAACTTCACGGCCACCATCGACGTCATCTATGAGATGTACACCAAGATGAACGCCGAGCTCAGCTACAAGGTGTAGGCACCCCGAGGGACATGCGGCCGCTCGCGGGAACAGGCCACCTGAGTCACTGTGAATCTCCGGGGCGCCCTTGCCCATGCATCCCCGAAGCAGCCGGGGGCCGCAGGGGACAGCCCTGGTTTTTTAAGTCATTTTTGGGTTCTATCCTAATGAAGCAATAAATAACCATCCTCCTTCCGAACCTCCTTGGAATTTCACAGCACAGACTGACTTCACCCTTCATTCCAGTGTGGTCAAAATCGATTAATGCTTCTAATAAATCACGTCCTAGGGTTTTTGGGGTTTTCCCCACACAGAGCGTGACTCTGGGGGGACAGTGTCCTACACCTCACTTTCAAAATCCGCGCCCGTCCTTATGAGGATCTGGCGGAATGATGTTTTGGGAATTTTAAGGACTATGAAGGGTTTGATTTAAAATGATACAGGACCCCTGTGGTGGGCTTTTTTTTTTTAAGCAAACTGGTGTGTGTTCTCATGCGGTTTGCACAGCCCGGCCTCAGAGCACTGTCATTACAGAGCCTGTTCTTTCCTGCTGTCGTTTCCAGACAGTCTTTTTATAGCTGAAACCAACCAGCAAGCCTTTGATGATTGGGGGCGGGGTATCTTAAAGATATCAGGCACAAATAATTGACTGTAGATGACTGTGTTTGCATTCTTCTGCATAATTATTTTCTTCAGGGACAGCTTTTCCAACCTAAGAAACTACCTACCACATGTATTCTCTCAAGGGGGAGAGGATGAACTCTTCAGCTGCTGAGACCCAAGAAAATGCCTCTTCGCTGCCTTAACTGTCCTTCCTGGCGCTAAAAAGAGCTGTATTTTTTAAAGTGTTGGGGCAAACAAGGCAACCCCAAAAGAATTGGTGTGTGTTAAAAACCCAATGAGGAACAATTGGTGATTTTTATGGAGAAACTAAATAATCCTTAATAAATAAATCTCTATTTTGGAATCACATCTGTGTGCTGTTTTGGTTCTTTTTTTTTTTTTTTTTTTTTAATTTTATTTATTTTATTTTTTCCCCCAAAGCCCCAGTAGATAGTTGTATGTCATAGCTGCACATCCTTCTAGTTGCTGTATGTGGGACCCGGCCTCAGCATGGCCGGAGAAGCGGTGCGTCAGTGCGCGCCCGGGATCCGAACCCGGGCTGCCAGCAGCGGAGCACACGCACTTAACCACTAAGCCACGGGTCCGGCCCTGTTTTGGTTCTTGATTCTCTTTTTTTTCCTGGATCAGAGGTCACACCTGGGGACCAGCCAAGCACCTGTTTTCTGGCTTCTGTGGTTTAAAAAAAATAGAACTAGTTGCCACATTGAGAAACTGGGGAAATTCCACATAAAAATCTTCATTCCGAGCTTCTTTTGAAAAATCAGACTGCCTGGCAGGAGCTGGGAGAGGACTGTCCCCTGGGCTGGAGAGGGCAAGTCAGCGGATGTATTCTCCACTTTGCCTCAGTCCCCACAAATCCCTGTTGCCTCCCTGTTGTGAGGTTTTGCCTCACAAAACCCTGTGACTGGTGGTTATTTGCACTTTATCATGGGCTGATGCTTTTTCTGATACTAAGGCTCAAATGTAGAGGGAATATTTATTTTACTTCCTCCTGCTGCTTCAGAGCTGACAGTCTAGTGGGCAAGATGAATCAGTAATCAACAGTGACAATATAGAGTGACCAGTGCCCAGAGGCAGCCTGGGGCCACAGATGAGGGGCCACATCCTCGGTGTACACTGAACCTCAAGGGAAGGGGTGGGGTCGGGGGGAGCCTGGCTGAAGAGGGGCAGGCGACACTCCAAGGCATAGGTAAAGGGCTGGTGGCTTGACCCAGAGCAGGCTGTGTGTGTGAACCATCACACGACCAAGGGATTTGAACCTGACCCTGAAAATCATGCAGCACATTCAAGGGTCTTGTGCACAATCGGTTAGGAAGGCTCTGTCTGGCATGGCCAAGGATGGACACTTGAACTAAGTTTTTTGCTGTCTCTGATTTCATTATATTTTTCTAATATTGCTGACAGTAGGAATGCCACTGATCTAAGCTCTCCCTGCTTTTTAAGTTTTTTCCCTTTGGGTTTCCTAGAAATATAAAACTCTGCCAACAAATTAAAAGAATTCTGTACTTTTTTTCTTTTTTTTTGGTGAGGAATATTGGCCCTGAGCTAACATCTCTTGCCAATCTTCCTCTTTTTGCTTGAGGAAGATTGTTGAAGATTTTTCTTGAGGAAGGTGACCGTGCACCAAAACCCGGATGAGCCCAAAAGTTTCACAATCTAACATCTGTGTCCATCTTCCTCTATTTTGTATGTGGGATGCCACCACAGCATGACTTGATAAGCCGTGAGCAGGTCCACGCCTGGGATCCGAACCCACGAACCCCAGGCCGCCGAAGCGGAACCTGCGAACTTAACCACTACACCACTGAGCCGGCCCCCAAGAATTCTGTATCTTCCTTTAAAAAAGAGCTTTTCCTCGTGTCTCGAACATAACACAATGAGACTGGGAAGGCAATTTCTCTGTGGAAGATCGGGGTTTTCCCAAGTCAGCCTCCTTCACTCCTGGTACCTGCTGGGCCCCTGGGAGCACTTTGGATTTTTGACCCCGGAGACAAATCCAGCAACGCACCTATGCCTTCCCATTTCATCCTTGTCAAAATGGGACTGAGTCCTGCCCAGGGCAGGGAGGAAGGAACACACGTCGAGCACCGGCTGTATACCAGGCCCTTGCACAAGTGCTCCACGCACATCATTTCACAGCCACTCTGAGATGCGGGCATCAGGAGACCGTTTTATCAGAGGAGGAAACTGAACCCTCTTGGGGTGGGGCGAGAGGACCCGGCCAGGGGGACCCAGCCAGGAGTGGGGGCACGGGGTTCCGCATCAGACTCCATACCCCCTCAGCCATGTCCACTTCTGTGCCAGCGGACAGAGTGAGCCCGCCGTGCAGCCACCTTCCTGCCAGGACAGTCCCACTGTGGAAGTTGCTGTCTCTGACCCAGGTTAACCTGACCGTGCACCCGGATGAGCCCAAAAGTTTCACAAGGGTGGACTCATTCCCTTGTTGATTCATTCAGTTAAACCTCATTGAGCAATAGTTCAAATCCATTATAACTCATCTCTATGACAGACAAGGAACTGAAGCTCATTTGTCCGTAAGAAAGCCTGTTTCCTTTTCTGTACCACCGGGGTCTTGCTAAAACCTACCTCACAGGTTGTGAGGCTTAAATGTTACTATTTGTAAAGCAGAGAAGCGTTTGAAGCATAGCAAGCTATCTTAGGAAGTGTTAAATAAAACGACACAGATATATTTATGTGACGTGGGGTGTACAGTGACGTGATGGAGTATTGCAGTCCTAGCTCTGCTATTTATTAGCTGACTGGCCTTGGACAAATCACTTCACCTCTCTGAGCCTCAGTGTCCTCATCCTTACAATGGGGATACTTACTAATGGTTCCTAGCTCTCTGAGAGTCAATGAAATTGCCTGGGCAGGCGCCTAGCTGTGTAATCGTCCAGTGTTGACCCAATGATCATCATTTACAGAGGGTTATGGGGGAATGGAGGAGGAACATCGACCTTGAGGTGGGTTGGGTGGTAGGGTTGCCCTGATTCATGCCGGCCCGGCTTGGGGCTGCGCGTCCCTACGGCCCCCGCGCCTGCGCACTGATCGCCTGCAGTTTCCGCGGGGCCAGGCAGGTGGCGCTGTCGGCACTGCACCGCCGCCGAAGAGCTGGGAGTCCCCACCAGTGGGCGCCTCCGCGCACCTGCAGGCTCCAGCCCGCGCCTTAAGTGTGTATGAGGGGGTGGGGGTGGGGGGGAGACTTGCCCCCTAACGTCTTTCAAGCAAATGCTTTGGGGTTCTGTCAAAGGGTGTCCTGCTGCTTTTGCCATTACTACCTCTGCTGCTAACACTACCCCTGTGAACGCCGGCGCCACCACCACCGCCACCACCTAACAATTTTCGGGTTCAAGTCCCAGGTCTGTAACTTTGTAGCTCTGTGAGCCAGGTCCAGTCAGTGCACCACTCTGAGCCTCAGTTTCCGCATCTGTAAAATGGGACAGGAACACCTCTACTTTGCAGGATAAAATAGATTACATAAAACAATGTTTGTAAAATGCCTGACACATACAAGAGTTCAGCAAACGGCTTTTATTAACACATTTAACTGTTATGATGCTGCAGCCTCCCAGGGGCTCCTAAGGGGGCAGCCCAGCCCCGAATGCAGTTAAATCGCAGCATGCTCACTTACTCCTTGTTCTTAAGGAGACGGCAGCGCCCGTGTCCACAGGAACACCCCAGGACACGTTGTGCAATCTGGCCGCTATTCCTCGCTCTGCCCTGATCTGCTGTGTGGCTCTGGGCAAGTCCCTTCTCCCCTCTGGGCCTCAGTTTCCTCATCTGTAAAATCAGGGTGTTAGACAGTTCAGAGCTCCCTCCCAGCTCTGACCCTCTACAATGGACACCTCTTGTCACTGTAACCAGCCCCTGGCTTGTATTCACCATGCCAGTGAAATCAACACTCCATCCACAAGCGGGGATGTCGGTCTCTCTGTGACATCTAACAGGACCATGTGTGCAAAGCACTTAGCACAGGCCGGGCACCCACAGCATGCTTGAGAAAGGGCAGCTCTGATGACCATTAACCCTTAATCGGCCCTCCATCCAGCCCAGAGAGAAGTGTCTGGAAGGCGAGCCATTCAACTCCTGTTTGCTGAGCACCTACTCTGTACGAGGCCCTAGGCTAGGCCCAGGGGGTCCTGCAGGGACAACACAGATAAGGCCTCACCCTCCAAGGGGCCCACTGTCCACCAGAAGAGATTTAGGTGAGGGAAGGCCAGAGGGCCTCTCTGAGGAGGTGACATTGAGCTGAGATCTGAAGGGGGAGAAAGAGCAGGCCCTGAAAAGAGGCTGGCTACAGCAAGTGCAAAGGCCCTGAGGCAGGACAGAAAGCAGCACGTTCTAGGACAGAGAGAGGCCAAAGTGGCCGGAGCCTGGAAATCAAAGGGGGAGGACAGGGAGGGATGAAACCTAGAGATGCTGAGGCCAGTGTGAGCTTGATTTTT